CAAAGACAGAAAACCACAAAATGAAGAGAATCAGTGTATCAGATAGCTATTGCTGCATTATAATAAACTACCCCCAAAACTTAAGTTAAAACAGCACCATTTGTTTAGCCTCTGCTTCTGTTCTGCAGGCTGGCTGGTCATTTAGGCTGGGTTCAGCAGAGTAGTTCTGGTCTGCATCTGCGGTCAACTAGCTGTAGTAGCTCAGCCAGGCAGCTCTGCTTTTATGAGTTTTCCAGCTGTGGGCTGGGAGATTGATGGTGACTGGGTCACTTGTCTTTCATTCTCCAGTAGGTTTATCTGAACTTGTTTACGTGGGAATAATAGGGCTCTAAGAGAGTAGATGCACATAAGACTGAGATTTAGGCTTTTAATGCACATATTATTCTTTCCACTACATTGTATTGGAAAGCAAGTCACAATGCTAGCCCAGATTCAAGAGGTGAGAGGAGTTGCAAATTTACACTGCAGATGACATAGATACCTTTAGGGGTGAATGGGTAATTGTGGCCATTTTTTGAAATCAGTCTACCTCAGTCAACAAAAACAAAAGTAAATTCTACTGGAAGACTCATCAAGAAGGAAGACATAGATAACCAATCAGGAATAAAAGAGAGGACGTCGCTACAGATCCTATAGGTATTAAAAAGAAAATCGGATGTCACAAATTTGAAAATTTAAACAATACGGACATATTTCTAGATAAACACAAGTTACCAAAATTGAATATAGAGGAATAGAAGATCTGAATGAAAGAACTGAATCCGTAATTAGAAACCTTGCACAGAGAAAAACTCTAGGCCCATGTGGCTTCACTGCTGATTTCTATTCAATATTTAAGGAAGAAGTAACATTAGTCTTCTATAAGCCCATCCAGAGAGTATAAAAAGAGGGAATACATCCCAACATGGTCTGAGGCCAGAATAACCTTGATGTTAAAACCCAAGAAGCATATTCTACGAGAAAGGAAAATTACAGGCCAATTCCATTCATGTATATAAATTAAAAAAAGTCATCACCAAAATGCTAGCCAACTGAATCCAGCAGTTTATAAAAAGGATAATGTATCATGATCAAGTTGAGTAGGGTTGGTTTAACATCTGATAATTAGTTGTAATTTACTGCATTAACAGAATAAAGGAGAAATATAAATGGTTATCTCAGTAGATGGTGAAGAAATGTGATAAATTTAAACATTTACTCTTGATTAGAAAAATTCTCTTAGTGAACTAGGGAATAGAAGGGAATTTTGTTAATCTGGTAATGCATGTCTACAAAAAATCTATAGATTACTTCAAACTTTATGGTGAACTGTTGAGAACTTTATTCTTGAAATCTGGAACCAGTCAAGAATGATACACTCATTTGACTTTGAACTCAGGGTGTGCTGGCCAGTGCCATAAGGATGGCAAGAAAAATAAATAAATAAAATGTAGTTGGAAAGGAGAAAAATAATAGTCATTATTTACAAGTAGTATGATTATTTGCCTGAAGAATCCAAAAGAACTTACAGAAAAATTATGAGAATTAATAATGAAGAAACAAAGTTGCTGGGTCCAAGGTTTGATATAAGAAAATCAATTACGTGTTCACATACAAGAAACAAATAAAAAATATGTTATACAATAGCAAAAATAAACTTCCAAATATCTAGGAATACTTCTAACAAACAATGAGTAAATGTACAATCAAAAAGCTGTAGATTTTTGAAAGAAATCAAAGTAGACCTAACCAAATGAAGAAATTATACTGTTATGGTTTTTGAAGACTCTATCGTAATATGATCCCAATTAAAATTACTACAAGTATTGTTTTAGAAATTGACCAGCTGTTTCTAAAATCTGTATGGAAACACAAAGGGCCGTGAATAGCTGAGACACTCTTAAAGAAGAGCAAGGTAGAATAATTTGCATATCAAGCTTTAGTATAAAGTTACAATAAATAATATAGTGTAATATTAAAGCAAGGATAAACAAGTAGGTGAATGTAATAAAATAGCCCAGAAATAGACCCAAGAGTATATATAGATGTTATTTATGACGATGGCATTGTAGAACAGTTGGAAAAGGATAGTCTTTTCAGTAAAATATGCTAGGACAATTGGGTATCCATATGAGAGAAAAAAAGTTGTCTCATCACAGACATCACTTCGCAGTACACTGTGGATGTAATGTGCAAGGCATAACAATAAAGCTTCTAAAAGGCAATACAGAAGGATATCTTGATGACCTTGGGGTGGAGAAAGACTTCTTTTAAACATGCACAGAAAACACTAACCGTTAAGTGAGGACTGATAACTTAAGCTACATTAAAATTAAATGTAATTTAATTCAGTTCAGTTTGATTAAATGCAGTCATCATGCAACATCATTAAAGAACGAGAAGGTAAGCCACAGGATGGGAAAAGGTGTTTGCTACACATGTAACCACAAAGTAGAAATCAAGAAGAAAAAGCTAAACAATGCAGTGGAAAAATAGTCTGGAAACTTCAAATGTGCTTCAAAAAAGTATATCCGAATGACCAATAAACATGAAAAACTGATCGATCAGTAATCAAGAGAATGCTAATTCAAACATTTAGCAAATGCACCAGAATGGTTAAAATAAAAATCATTGGCAATAACAAGTGTTGGAAGTGGATCAAACCAAATCCTCATTCTCTCTTGGGAATATAAAGTATACAAGTATTTTAGAAAATAGTTTAGCACTATCCGCTAAAGGATATTCTTTTTGGATATTGTCTTCTTTAGGCAGTCTTTTCTCTCAAGAACAGTCCTTTGTCCTGTTGCTTGATTTTATGCTGTCTCTTTCTTGAGGGTTCCTCAAGTCTTTGGTGAACCTTCTTGGTCTATTCTTATTTAAGTATGAAAAACTAAAAATTTGAATTAGAAGCTTATGTTCACTGGGCTTGCCCACTGCAAGCTTCAGTTTTACATAATCACTTGAAACGTCAACCTTCGAGAAGGGAGAAAATGCTAGAACATGAAAGTCTTTTCTCTTGGCTCTTCAGTTTTTCTAGAGATGAAAACTCAAGCATGTTATCTGTAAGTTAGATGCCTGGCCCTTGGTGATTTGTGGGCAGGGGTGGGTCAGTTGTTCTGTATATCATTTCCACGTTTTCTTTATAGTGTTCTGCAAAACTCAGTGTCTGAGTGTCAAGTCTCTGGCAAATTTGCTATTGATCATATCCCTTTCTGTGGGCATTGTAAGCTGAATCGTTGACTGACAGCCTAAAGTTTCCTAAAGTGAATTTGTAGTGGACTTGGTAAGCTATTAATTGTCCACTATGTGCCAGACTTTGTTATCGGACCTTTTATATATATTGTGCTGTACACACATGCAGTCCTCACTATGACTTTACCAGATAGTATTATCTTCATTATATAATTGAGGCTTATTTGATGTGACTTTCAAATTCCTAATTATTATTTAGTATTGGAGCTTGGATACTAGTTGAGTCTGTGTGCTTTCAGAGTTTAACTGCTTAACCACAGTACTTAAGTTTATTCAGATTGGTGATGTAGGATGTGGATTCTAGATTGGAAGCAAGTGCATTGTTAAAATGGATGACAGCAGGGGTTTAGGTTGGGTAAAGAGGTAGATAAAGTACTATATGCTGAGGAACTAGGTAAAGATAAGGGGTTTTATTTGAATGTAAAGAGATGGTTCAGGCAAATCTCAGAATTTGGGATCTTGTAGATCTAGATCAAATGCTTACAGGATCAAAGTCTGTGAGTCTCAACTTGGGGTGGAAAAAGTTGTATCAAAATTCCCTGAGGGGGAAGGGGACTTTCTTCCAGCTGTACATGTCATGTGTACTATCCATCTTTCATTTGCAAATCACTTTTGTAAGATGTGGCAATGCTGGTGAGCCGCTTAGTGAGGCAAAGTAAGAAGCCATCGGAGTACAGAAGATTGAAGAAGTGCCCTAGCTTCTTAAGCCCTGACGGCAGTGAATTCTAGCATATTACTTTTATTTAATGATATACTAACAGTAGGATCAAATGCAAGTAAAAAGTTGGAAGCTGTAAGCATAGAATCAGTACCTATTTGATTGAATAAAGAAATAAAAACCACCCATGGGTTTTTGTGGAACTGATGGTAAACACTCATTTTTTGTGTGTTTTATGCAGGTGACGTGTGAAGGAGGAAAATTTTCTTTCCGATATTTACAATCTATTTTTCCCATTGGCCTTTAAAAAAAAAAATAAACTTCTGTATATGAATACTAGAAGTTTCTGTTGAGGGATGGTAATTCTTTATTTATATAATTATTTTTATCTTTGCCCTGTCTATGAAAAGAGTTAAGGCTCCTTGCACAAATAGTAGTATAAGTTAAAGGTAGAAATGGAAAAAAGAAAGGAAAATAAGGATGCAGACAAAATTGTGCAAAGAATGTGATAAAAAGTGTATACAGTACTCTCAAGACTTAAACGTTTGGTATAGGGTAGAAATCAGATTTGGCCATTGGTATTCTGACAGCCAACCTCAAAATACAGTTCTCGTTGAACAGTTGCTTTGGAGAAAGTATAACTTTTCTTGTTAGATAAATAAGAAAGGAATTTTTCCCAGGGATTACCATAGAAAAGACAATCACCATTTAACATAATGAGTAGTTCCCTGAACTAGGTCATTACAAAGAGTTTTGTAGAAGGGGTTTGCATTCCTCGGTGGCATCTAAGATTTTGTCAAACTCTTTAATATATTCTGGTTTAGATTACATGTTGGTGGACAATTTAGTATAGTGCCTGTTTTAGGTAGTTACTATTGTTCCTAATCGTAATTTGTATTAATACATATGAAAATTTCATACTAAACAATGAGCTATTGTAATTACACCCCCAGACTTGGCAAGAAATTCATAAGGACTCTAAGATTTTATTTCAACTTAATATTAAAAAAAATTTAATTCGTGAAAGTAAGTGTATATATATATATATATATATATAAAGAGTTATGAGTTCAAATAAGTGAATAATATATGGTGACTTTTTTTTTTTCAGTTTAATTTCGTTGGGAGAATCCTTGGACCTAGAGGACTTACAGCTAAACAGCTTGAAGCAGAAACAGGATGTAAAATAATGGTCCGAGGCAAAGGCTCAATGAGGGATAAAAAGAAGGTAAGTCATTGAATGTGGGGACAAGTCTTGTTGTGAATAAATTACTCATACTTTTGCATTCTAATAATAAAATATCCAGATCTTTTGTGCATAAGGCACTATACATTATTTCCTGTCAGGAACTTGTGAACTTTTTAAAGATGTTGTCATGATTTTCCTTTGTTAATTATCATTATTTTTCATTTAGCCAACTAAAGTATCACTCACTCCATCGTGTTAACTTACTTTGGTATTTACACTTGAGAAGCTGCCAGTTTGGAAATTTGTCAAACTATAATGTTGTATATATAAAAATATGTCACTAAAAGTTTGAAAAATCTCAAATGTTTCTTTTGAAGGTTTAAATGAGAATGATCAAATGAATAACTTTGGATTTCTGTCATCATTAGAGGATTAGTAAACATAGGAAAAGAAGGCTTATAACTAAGCATATGAGACTCATTTTGGATTGTATATAAATCCCTAGTGGAATGGTACTGGGTAACCTTATGGAACCTAAGGTCAGGAACTGGAGTCAGACTTCATGAGAGACTGTGATCACAACTTGGAAAGCTTGGTCTATCCCAGCCAGCATATGGCAGTGCTGATCTGTAGCAGGCGGACTATACTGTCTCCGATATTAAGTATCTGGTAACAGGGCAACTGCAAGTGGGAACCACTTTTTTATGGGGAGTTCTTTTGATGTATCGAGTGTGTACTTTGTATCAAATGTTATTCTAAGTATTTTGCATATCTTTGTTTTAATTAATTTGAATTTTATTATTCCTGTTTTGTAGCTGAGAAAACTGAGGCCCAGGGAGGTTGAGTAAATTGTCAAAGGTCACATGCCAAAAAGTGGCAGTCAAAATTTGAACCTAAAGGCGTTATTCTGTTCTGTGGTACACTACCTTCTAATTATAAACCATTTCTAAGAATGATATCAACTTCAGAAATATTAGAGGAACTTGAATATTGAGTACTCGAAACTTTCACTACAAAATCAATATGAATTTATTTTGTAAAAAATTTCTCTGAGCTATTTGCTTTTTCCCTCAGTGATAATGTATTTTGAAATTTTATTTCTGTGTCATTCCCTTGATTTTCAGAAATCCTTTAGGAAGGATTTAATCCTATATTTGCTGAATGGAAACCATATACTTGAGCAGGTTAGAGATGCTAGAAAAGTAATTTTGGGGAAAAAAGTGATTATTTGTAGTTTCTCAGTTGAGATAGCAGAGTGCTGCAGGGGCCACATGTAGGGCTGTAGGGAAAATGTCTTCATGCTGGAAGGAGTGGTCCACCTTCAAAAAATGTAGGTGGCAATCAGCTGGTTTCCAATGTAGCAGATGAAAAAACGTAAGACATTAAAACACAAGAGTGTTTTGTGCATAGATACTTGGTAAATTATTGTGGAGTAACAGTTGTTATTAAAGTGGTTAATGAAGTCCACCTTTGGGAGTCTATATGAGTGGTCTTTGTAGGGGACACTCTTTGGGAATTTGTCTTATCCACATCCATTAGCTCTTCTCTGAGACCTCCTCTGTCATAAACTAAGTAGCCATGCTTGTGTGTTTCTGCTCCCCACTCCCATCCCCCCAGTCAAAAATGTTGATGGGTGAAATGTCTACAGTTGATCAAAGGCAGGTCAACTGTTGTGTCTTGGGGAAATTTCCAATGAGACTCAGCAATTCTAGTTAGAGCTCTTTGCTTGAAATGAAGGGATGTACACTCAGGTGATCAAATGGCCATTCTAGGGCTGCTAATAACAATGGCCAGATGGTATCAACTACTTTCACGATCTGTGCAATGTCTTATTCATACCATGCAACAACCTCAGAAGATAGTTTTACTCTTCTAACAGGAATGGAGGCTTAAAGAAATGGAGGCTTAAAGAGATGAAGTAACTTATCCAGTCCCTCATCTCTGACTGACTGCACTAAATATAAACATGTATCTCACTGGAGATTCAAATTCAGCTGTACAAATCATTCTCATCAGAATATTGGCTTTGAATTTAAAATCAGATAAATCTGTAGTAAAGTTTTAATTCAGTTTTTAATTTTACATTTGTTTCCCAAATATATTTGACCATAATCTCTCCTTTTTAAGGGATGTACCTATAACTTCTTCAGGAACTACAGTTTTTGTGGAACATGATTCATGAAATGTTATTAGAGAGGCATATTATATAATTGCAAACATAGGTTGAATTTTGTAACATTTTTTACATGCTACTTGTCATACACATTACAGATTTTTCTTAAATATCTCATAGCTCTACTACTTTCTTATCATCTATACATATTTTAATTAGGGAATGTATGCTATTTTTAGAAAAGTTTAAAAGTACAGGTGGCCTGAAAAAAAATTAAAAGCACCTGGTTCTATCACTCTAGAGACTAATCTTGTTGACCATTTTGATATGTCTTCTTGTAGATTGTTCTTCATGTAGTTATATGCACGTTCACCTGTGTTTTGGAAAGTGGATCTTATTGTACGTGATGCTTTGTAATTAGCATTTCCTCCTGCAACTCTATATCCTGTCCTAGGTCAATTCACCAAATAATTGAGCTTCATAATGTCTGAGACTTAGTGCTGGGTGATAGGAAAGCACACCTAAAGGTTGCTTCAAGGCAGTATTGATAGCGATATCCAAACATAACTTTGCTTGATTTGGGGGGGTTGGCTTAGACTTTTATTTTTATGAAAATTGCTACAGCTGTCTTAATACTATGAAAGAGATCAAATTAATAATACAGTTTTTTGGTTGACATACTAAAGTGGCCATGATGGCCGGTGACATAACATTAAGTACAAGCATGGTTCCAAACAGCCTGTTTTATTGATCTTGTTGAATACTTACCTTTCTGACAACCTTTAGCATAGGTATTTTTTATTAAAAAATTTTCATTATGGCAAATTTTAAGTAATAGTTATCCATCACCCAGTGTCAGCATTGCCTGTCTCTTTCCATGTTTACTCTAACTCCCCCTTTGCCCTCCTTCCCACTTCGGCCTGCCAGATTGTTTGGGGAGCAAATTCCAGACATAATTTCGTCTGTAAATATTTTATTAGGTGTTTCTAAATTAGAAGGGTTCTTTAATGCTGTTGTGTTTGTTTTTTTATCACCAAAAAAATTTCTTTATGTCATCAAATACTTAGTCAGTGTTCGTAATCCCCCTCTTGTCTTATAAATGTGCTTTTAAAATAGTTTGTTTGAATGGCATCCAGATGAGGGCCATATACATAGCAGTCGATTGATAGATCTCGTAAGCCATTCTCCCTCACACCCCCATTTCTCTTGCAGTTTATTTGTAAAGGGACTGAGTTATTTGTCCTGAGAATTCCTGTAGATTTTGCTGATTGCATTTTCATGGTGATGGTGTAACACTTACCTCTGTCCCCTGTATTTCTTGTAAATTGGTAGTGACAAAGGTTTAATTAGATTCAGATCTTCTATCATCCCTTCCTCATTTCCTTCCTTCCCTTTTGAAAGAGTATTTCAGGGCCGGCCCCATGGCTTAGCAGTTAAGTGAGCACACTCCACTGCTGGCCGCCCAGGTTCGGATCCCGGGCGCGCACCGACGCACTGCTTCTCCGGCCATGCTGAGGCCACGTCCCACATACAGCAACTAGAAGGACCTGCAGCCGTGACATACAACTATCTACTGGGGCTTTGGGGGAAAAAATAAATAAATAAATAAAATTATATTAAAAAAAAAATATTTCACAAGTAGTGTTGTGGTGCTGGTATATAAAATATAGTTTCCTCTCTCTGATTTTAGCAGTCATTGTTGATTGTTAGGCCCTTTATTTCAGCAGGAATTACAAAATAGCTATGTCCTGTTTCTTCATTAATATTAGTTAGATTTACTTCACAAAAAGTAAGGTTGGATAAATGCTCAATTCTTTATTCGCTAGTTTTAAAATAGTGGATTGGTTCCTAAGAATCCTCCAAAGGTGATGAATGAGTTTTTGTTTCATTTTCTTTTGAATATCATAATGAAGGCATTTAAACAGTTTTGGTGTGTTTCACTTCATTGCAGTTAGTGTTTTAACTGATGATCACGTTGTTTGGCCAGTGGGGACCTCTTCAGGTTCACGTCTAGGTCCTTTTGACACAATCCCAGTAGTTGGGGCTAGTAACTTTGATAGTCCAGGCTCATCTTGTAAGGTTTCCTCCCCAGACTTGGAATCAGCCATTTCTTTAAGGAAACCCTGGTTACTATTGGTGAAAAATAGTATTTAGAGACTGTAGTGTGGGCTCTAGTGATAATCATTATTTGTAGACGTTTTCAGGACAGAGCTAGGAGATATATACATACCACACACACACTGAGGAATATAGATATATTTTTACAAGTTCATTTTCATTTAGCATTAAGACTATAGTGTGTTATTTAATTAGTGTGTCTGTATTTTCTTTCTTTCCCACTGAAAATCCTGGTTCCTGCCTAATGACACAAAATGATTCATTTGCTTTAATCTAAAATATACAAATCAATCTCAGATTAACCATACAAACACTTCTACCAATAATATCGTCAGTGAAAACAATTTTTCCCCAGTTATTATTGTTTTTAGGGTATATTCCACTAGAGATACAAATTACTATCTTTTAAAACAAATTACTATCTTTTAATAGTTTTTCAGTGTATAATATATGTCATCGTATGGATCCACAGTTAAGCTCATTTGTTGTACTTGGTTTTCTAGTTTTAGGAGTTGCTTAAATTATTTTCTTGTTACTTATAAAATATTTACATGGTTCCAAAGTCAAATCTACAATGTAGGGAATTTTCAGAGAAGCCTGGTTTTTTATTTTAGTTTTTGGTTTATTCTTTCCTTTTTTTGACATAAACAGTTATATAACTATGACAGTTGTGTGTATGTATGTGTGTAATTTCTCACTCCCTTCATAGATCGTTACATACTCTACATTTTTTCTATACTTTATTTTTTTCTCCCCTTAACAGTGTATCATTGGGATCATTTAATGGCAGTACATAGAGACAGTCTTT